GAAAGCTACCAAGCGAGCAGCGGTCTGGCGGGCCCTACCGTGTATGTGGTGAGAGATAACACAATGGTGATTGCAATCTTTGCCTAGGACCGTGAAGGAAAGAAATTTCTCCAATTTGTGGTTATTTACAGCATTGTAAATCAAGCAAATGCCATGAAGTGCCAATAAAAATTGTTTAAAATCAGCCTTAAATAGCTAAACTCTCAACAGCAGCTCATAAAGTGAGACTTGGCGGTTGTTAGGCAGTTACGGTTAAATTGACAGCCCTTTGGGGAGTTAAGATATCCAGAAAGCAGAGGTAGTTAGGAATATAGTGATACATGGTGGGGGTTGTTGATTGAAGAGATTTTACAGGGTACGTTAAAGCCTGGAGAATTCTATGAAGAGCTGAGTGGCCCTGAGAGGGTGTGCAAAACCATAGAAGGCATTCCTTCACCAAGGACTATTTCATTTACTACGGCTCCAATGGGGCCTCGTATTCCTCACCCATGAACATCTAGACCAGGGCTTCTTAGCTTGGGGCCCGTGAACTTGTTTTTTAAAAAACATTGGGATAACTGTGTTTCAATAAAAATGTTTTCCTTTGCAATCCCATGCATTTTATTTAATGCATTTAAAAATATTATTCTGAGAAGCCTACAGGCTTCACCAGACTATTGCCAAAGGGTTCCATGATACAAAAGAACCTCTGATCTAGAGAGGAAAGAAAGGGCCCTCCCAATTTGATGTAATGTGCTGTTTTTTCATACCTAAAGGGGATGAGGAGCTGTGTAAATACAACTGAGGGAAAGTTTGAAGGTCAAAGCATATACAAGTACCCCAGAGGCATTTCCTTTTTATTTTTTTAATCCCCTAATAAAACAATGAAACACTAACTTCCCTTAACTTAAAGTGTGAGAGCCATATTTCCAGAAACCGTGTTTGGGCTAACACTGTAGAAACTTTATTCAGACACTTTCTTCGTGGGATGGATTCGTGGGCAACAATTTATTTCCACTAAATAAATAAATAAATAAAGTCCGTTTCATTTTTTTTTTTCAAAGTCAGAAACTCGTTTTGCTCGCCTGTTTAAAACAAAAAGCGAAAACAAAACCAAGTTCTTCTGGCCAGCAGAAAGCCCTCTCCTGTTCTAGGTAAACATTGTACCTCTCAGAGGATGCATTGTCAGTGACACAGGATAAGCTCTTTCTGCCAGGGTGCTCACCTTGTGTTTACAATGTGATTGAGCCCTGCCTCTCCCTTCCCATGGCCACAGAAACGCCTAAATACAGATAAACGCACATTTGGTGCTTTGGGGTGACACAGTAGACTCTGGGTAGTCCCTTGGTCCAGCAGGTCAGTGGGGCTCTTTTGTTTGCCCCCATTACATTAAAAAAATAAATAAATAAACCCAGCGTTGATAAGAATGATAAGTCCTTTAGCACTGAACCAGAACAGACATGACCCACTGGAATTGGCTTAAGGTTTACATTCATCTTACAAATGCTTTCTTTTTACAGGGCTATCACTTCTCAATAATTCCCCCCTCTCAACAGAGCCCTCCATCCTTTATAAGAAAGAAGTACAGGTAAAACAGTTTGATGTTATCTGAATATGTATGCCTCATTCTGCACCAGTAGCCCACCACCTCTCTTCATTTTCTAAGATCTCTAAAGTCACAATTTCAAATCTTGTTTACTATTAAAGACCTACAATGTTGTTTGAGGTCATAGGATCATAGTTTAAAAGTCACCAAGGCCAACTCACTTATTTTACAGAGCAAGAAACCGAGGTCCACGGAGTCTAAGGGACTTGCTTAAGGTGACATAGCTGGGGAGTGTCCAAAGCAGAAATCAAACCCGGATGTTCTTCATTCCAAATCCTGCACTCCTTCCACATCAATGTACTGGCATCGGTGGATAACCAACAGATAGCAAAGACACTCTTGTGAACCTCGGGTTCATGGCATCTCAGAGTACCACAACCATAGAATTCAAGAGCTGGGAGCAGCCTGGAGGGGTCATCTGCTTAGTCTCTAGACAGAACCACACCTAAATTATCCCAAACAGAATGGAAGAGTCTCAAGTCTGCTTGTACTCTGGTATTTATTTGTATGAAGCTGTGCCACCGAGCAGAGTTGTTTTCCATGTAGCTCCAGACTGTTGCCTCTGTTTGTTAAACGTTGCTGCTACTTGGGACAGGCCAAAAGGCAGCTCTTGGACTTCTCAGCCCAGAACATCTTGAGCAGATTCTCCATGAGCCAAGGGGAGAAATGCAATCATTGACGCTCGGAAATCCTTCCCCACACGGTGGTCATCTTGACCTGTGTCTGAGGACATGACAGCCTCATCTCTTACTAATGTGCGTAAGTGGTCCCTTAGCTCTTGCTTCCAATTCAGTTCAATCCCACAAGCCTACCAAGTACAGAAAGCACTGGGGTATACCCTACAAAAAACACTTTGTTAGGGGTATGCCCTACAAAGGCAAAAATGAAAAACCACATCTGCTCTCAAGGAGTTTGAATTCTTCTTGGAGATACAATATGTAAACAGATAAGCACATACCAGTTTATTTGAGGAAGGGGAGAACACAAGGGTGTAGCATAAAACAAAGGACACTGGGGCTCCCTGGTAAAATTCAGGCTTGTGTCTAGAAGACTGCTAAGGTCCCTTCCAGCCATAGAGAGATGATTCTCTGACGCTAAAACACAAGTTTGAATCCTGGCTCTGCCACTTACTACCTGCATGACCTCGGGCAATCGTTTAACTTTTTTGGATCTCAGTTTCTTCATTTGTAAAATAAGGTCAGCCAGATGGTACAGTATAGAGTCAGGAATTCTTGAGTTCAAATCTAGCCACAGACACTAGCTGTTTGACTCTGGGCAAGTCACTTAACCGTGTTTGTCTCAGTTTCCTCATTGGTAAAATCAGTCGGAGAAGAAAATGGTAAACCACTTTGCCAAGAAAACCCCAAATAGGGCCATGAAGTGTTGGACATGACTGAAAACAACTGATCAAAAAAAAAATAAGGGGGTTGAAATATTATCTATCTATATTTTCCTTTCAGTTCCAAATTTGTGAACCTTTGAACAACTAGAAGAAAGGTTTTGTGCGAGATGGCTCACGAGCTGAGCTCGAACAAAGCCCAGATAATAAGTGGTGGAGACAGGAAGGGAGTACATTCCAGGCAGAAGGGGGTAGCCTGTGCAAAGACACAGCCGGAGGCAGGAGAAGGAATGCTCAGCAGGGATGGGAGGGAGGTGAACAGGAGAATTTGGCTAGGACTGAAAGTGTATAAAGGGGACTAATATGAAATATGTAGAAAGGAAGTTTATAGCAAAACTGTGAAGAGCTTTGAATGCCAATCAGGAGTCTGTATACCATCCTGGGAGCAGGATAAAAGACATTTTATTCATTTATATTTGTATTTTATTCATTCCTTCATTTGTTCATTCATTCATTCATTCATTCATTCATTCATTCATTCATTCATCTGTCTGCTTATTTACTTATTTATCCATTTAGCCTTGCTGATAAACATTTAACAATGAAGTCTCACATGACACACTTTTAAGTTTAATTTGCATTATTAACATTTCCTCCATCACTTCTTTAATTCTAGTCAATCAACAAAATGATAAATCAAGCCCTGATTTACAGCTCCCTAATTTCTGAGGTGTAAATGCTCACGCTGCAAATTCAACAACTGGCACTTGCCAGGCAGTCTGAGCCGGCATCGGTGGACCCCTGCATGGAAGCCATGGAAGTGACTCCCCCCGAGGAGTGATGGTTCAGACCCATGCTTTAGAAAGGTGATTTTGGCAGCTCTGTGGAGGGTGGGTTAAAGAGAGGGGAGATTTGTTTCAGGGAGAACAATTAGGAATCTGTTGCCACAGTTTAAGCACTCAGTAATGAAGGCATTTAGGGCTACCTCTTGTTGGGTGTCAAGAAAGGGAGGTCAAGGCCTTTCTTCTTCTGTTCTGAATCTCTACAGGTACCCCAGTTTCTAAATGTCTCAGTCCCAGTCTCCATTTTGAGTTCTTTTAGTCAACATTCCTTTCCTGATCTCCCTCTTATTCCCACCCTGAAACTCATTTTCCTTTCTGTGTACTCTTCCAAAATATCCCCATCCATAGACACCCAAGTATAGAATACAAAAAACACCAACCCAGTAGTTGATTTACTCATTCCTTTTAGTAACCACATACTCCACAAATCCTCTCCCGAGTCACTCAGTTGGTTAGGACACCACCACCAGCACCATTATCATCATCATCACCATGTAGTGCTTATAAGGTTTATTTGCAAAGCACTTTATATATCTTATCCTTCTTTGATCCTCACTATAACCCTGTGAAGTGGATGCTATTAGGACTCCATTTTACAGGTGAAGTAATTGACACTGAAAAGAGTTTAAGTGATTTCCCAGTGGCCTCACAGCTAAGTATCGCAGGCAGAATTTGAATCCAAATCTTCCTAACAAGTCCAAACTATCCATTATATCATTTAACTGCCTTTCTTTTCTACTCCCCTTCCCTTCCATCCAATGAAATCCACATAGAGCATTTTACTCCTCTTAAATGCCATCAGTCACATATCATTTTGTATTATGGTTATTTGTGTTCACATCATCTCCCTCTACTGGACAGTAAGTTGAATGAGGGCAAGGATTATATTCCCTGCAGGACTAGCATAGAGTTCTTCATGGAATAATAAATGTTTGTTGAATAAGACTGAATTGCATATAAATGTTCTTCCCTAAGTTATAGGAAAATGGGAACTCTGCATGTGATTCACAAGTTAGTTCCGTGTTCTCTTTGCTCTGCTCTTGAAAGGGGGACATAATGTGATGAAAGCTGAAACACCAGCTTAATCCAGTGCTCTTCGTGATGCCTCTCTAAAACATGATCTTCATTTAACACACACTCACTGTTTCCCAACCTGGTCTGCCCCCAAAAGAAAGCAGCGTGCATGTGATGATTAAGGAACAGAAATTAACATTTATTCCAAAGCTGTCAAGATTTTTGGCAGTTATTAATTTTATTAAAATGATTACATATGGCACAACAAGGAACAGCAGTAATAACGTTTCTCTACGATATAAATTATGACTTTGATTTTCAGCTGTTGGCTCAGCGTTGTTCAAGATTCTTCTTTTAAAAGGAAATGGTGGGGGGAGAGGTGGGGAGAGAAGAAGCATTTGCATTTCCAGAAAATGTTAAAGCAGCGAAAGGAAAAATAAATTAGAGATAATTACAGTAGCAAATAATGCCAAGTATTCATTAATTGTAAAATGGACTTAATGTGTTTATGGACCAACCTCTACACTTTGGCAATTTTTTAAAAAAACAACACATGTTCCATAATGGCTTATCTTCTATACTTATACTGAAAAACTAATTTGCTACTGCTTAAAAAAAAAAGATGACAGTGCTGAATGATCATTAATTCAAATGAAAATACTCCGCATACCTTGAACTGAAATGTTTGTCAAAACAAAAACAAAGTATTGTCACAAGATACTTAAGGCCTGAATAACTTATGATAGTACGAACAAGAGTGAAGTATTTGTCATTAGTTTTCAGTTACCTGCTCACATTATGGCAAAATTCTGGATGTAAAGTATCAAAATGTGTCATGGAACTCTAACTACCTAAAGACAACAAAACACGTACTCCATTTGTTCATACAGTCACGGTGTATACTTTTTGCGCGGCACTATAATGTCATTGCAAACAGCAATTTAGAAAAACAAAGTAAAAAATATATATACAAAATATTTTCATATCAAATTATCTTTATCATACACTAAATAACCCCAACCCCCAAGGCTATGTTACAACAAAACGTGTCCTACAAGTTATACTAAGATGGATTTTTTTTTTCCTGTCTCTGAAATAATTTAGTACAACTGGAGCAGACAAGGTTTTGTAAAATATTCTGAAACATAAAGGAGAATTTTACCATTTGGATGCGTTATTGAGGTGTTCGTGCTCTCTCTTTCACACACACACATACACATAAACACACACACACACACACACACACACAATTCCAGTTTTTTTTTAAAGGAACAGAATAGGTTATAAATGGAAAAAAATAAATTCCTATCCCATCTCCCAAATAATCAAAACTTTTTTCACCCTCCTGTAGTTGATGTACTCCAAATCACATTCAGAATTTCCACTGTTTATTCAAGTGTTCCCAAGCTGATTAGGATATTGTTGTTTGACTGGAGAAAATACAGTGTTCCTCCCCACCCCTCCATTTTTTGTATTTATTATTTCCACTCGATAGCAATTTTGTTTCAAAATTTGAACTGTTATTTCTTTAATGCATGATTTCCTATCAGTCCTTAATCTCCTTGGCAAAATGTAATGACCTTTCAATATTGTAGGGACCATATACTTTTAATTTGTGGGTTGACTTTATTGCGTGCGTGTCTTTGACTGTGCCTACATACACATACACATATTTATCTCACTGTCTGTTGCTCCTTGAAAGGCAGATTATCAATTAGACTTCCTGGTTTCACACAAATCAAACCAATGCTGTTTCAACCATGCCATAGCTAAAACCATTTCCATCATGGCAAGACACCGAGTTCCAAAACAAGTAAGATATGGGACTACAAGTTTACTTCTGTACAAAAAGATATATTTTTTGGTTATTTATTTAACAACTTTAAACAGTGTGTAGCAAAGCTCAAGAAAGAAAAAAATCCAAAGTGAAATTTCAGCTGAGTGGAGGGAGTTTTCTGGTGAAGCTTGCCATAAGAGACATCTACTGAACATGGTGCATAATTTAATCTTTAAAATTAATTTGGACACACTGTTTCTTAAATATACACATTATGTGGAGTATTGCACTTTTCAACGAAGTGAGTTCTGGTGGTAGTAGATAATGTTCTGCATGGACAAGCAAGAAACATGCACAACAAACTTAATACCACTGAAAGATACATTGGGTCATACTTAATACTGTGGAATTTTTAAAAAGGGGACATTTCCTTTAGACTGAATACGTTTTAAAAATGTGAAATACTGAATACATTTCAAGGGCGTTCAGCAGTTATGGTTTCAGCTCTGGAATGGTCAGGCCCATCTGGAATAATACATAGACTAATAAGCATTATGGCATTGTCATTTTGAGGCATAACTATTCTGCTATGCCCACGTTATAGCTTATTTTTGGAAAGCAAGGCACTTATTGTAATAGCAATGCAGACATTTTATGCATAGTTTGAGTAACATAAAATAAGTTAATATTTTGATAAAAACTGATTTTTTTTATAATTTATATGTCTTTTATAGAAGCGACTGGACAATTTATTTAATATAATTAAAAAAAAAAAAGAAGACCAAAAATTCTGAAGGGAGTAACTGCTTTACTGACCATGTCGGGAAGGGAACGGTTTTCGACGCTTGCTCCAGGTCTCGGGTTCTGACTTTACAGAAATACAAATGGCATGAGGAATGTCCATGGATCCCACAGTTAGCAAGCGCTTAAAATTGTTGGGCTAGTGGCACTTTGACAGTCTTGACCTCTGATATATGCGATGATTTCTGAATGATGCAGCTGGTGGTGCCCTGAAGTTTGTCTTTTCCCTGTGCGAGATTTGTTAAGGCCATAGCTGCATTGATCTCCTTCCAGTAGGTTTCATCTTTGCTTGCTCCCTTTCTGTTAGCTGCACTGGAATTAAACAAAACAAAACAGAAGGTCTTTACATGTCACATGTGGCCCAAATACCCAGCTCTCCCAAGTTAGCCACAAATTATAAGCTGCCAAAAAACTAATCAAGAACAGTTTCCTCACCTGTCACACTTATTGGATCCATTTTCCAGAGTGTCTGAAAAGAAAAGTAAAAATCAATTATTTCCCTTAAAACAAACAAACAAACAAAAAACAGAAGTAAAAGCTCACTAGGGTAGAGTGCTGGAAATGAGTGATGGTCCTTAATAAAAATAAGAGTAGTGTGCCACATATTACCAAAATCTCTTTGCAAAGATACAAAGACTAAAGTGCCACCAAACAGAAGGTTATGTAGAATCATAGGGAATTTAAAGAGAATTCTATTCAATTCGACAAGCATTTTTTAAGTACCTACTATGTGCAAGGGACTCTTGTAGGCACTGGAAATACAAAGACAAAAATGAAATTGACCCTGCCCTCCAGGGGCTTACATTCTGCAAGAGGTTAAAAACATGGATTCAGATCAGTAGGCATAACATACATACAAAACAGACACAAAGCAGCTTTAAATTTTACTTGGTATATTTACAAAATGTGAAGGAATCTGAGGGTCTTTTCAAAGGCTGCCTGCATTAAAAAGTGTGCCTGATCCTGCCTAACAGCTTCAGTAGAGGGAGAAGAATTTTTTAATGCTGCAAAATGTCTTTGCCCACTTAGAGCTAGACACTTAGTAATTTTGATAAATTCATTTCTTTTCTTGCCTCAGCAAATGGCACTTCTGATTAGTATGTGGGCTACTACTGGGACTTTTAAAGTAGACTGCTAATCAAAAGAGTAGACAAATCCCCAACAGGCTTATCTCCTCCAGAGTACTCTCTGTGTCTTTGGATGCTGGCCAAGCTACGCATATGCTGGTCAAGCTGGTCAGTTTCTATGGGTTGGAACAACAGTAATGTCACAGATTGACTCTGTGGAAAGCTGAGTTTTACCCTGAGAATTCTGCAGCCCAGCTCTTTGGTTTTTAATCACCTTGTCCAGGTCTTGAAGATCCTTAATGTTGGACCTAGCTATAGAGAGCTCTTCTCCTGACAAAAGAGGCACAAATTATACCTTAATTTACTCCCATAACCATTCTGGCAGGTTTTTTTGTGTACTGTGGAAAAGGCTAATGTAGGAAAAATGAAAGGAGATGAATTCCAAAGGCCAGTCAACAAATCATTTGGTTAAAAGAAAAAAAAGTGAAGTTTATAAGGAGAAGATAGAGATAATATAGTTAGAGAGAAGTTTCCTTAAAAAAAAAAGATCTGAGGCCAGGTATGATGGAAAATGCTTGTAAATTCTGCCTCTGATTAAATATAATTAATATAGGTAGTCTGAGACTGGTGTATTGCTTCAATTTAGGAGTTCTCAGACACAACAGGGCTAAGCCAAGCAGTTATCTGTAAGAAGTTCAACACCAGTAGGGTAGCCCCTAAGTGGGAGGCCATCAGACTATCTAAGGAGGGGCAAACTGACCCAGATCAGATATAGAACAAGTCAAAGCTCCCATACCTGTCAGTAACAGGACCAAGTCATTGACTGGCCTCTAAACTTCTAGCTGGGGGAAGATTGGGAAACCCAGTCTCAATAAAAAAAAATCTCATTAAAAAAAAGATCTGTTATAGAAAATGAAATTTTAGTGCAAAGATTTCATTTTGGGTCCTAAAAAACATATCCTCTTACATCAAGCTGATACTTAAGGCTCTGTACTTGTAAGTTTTTAATAAGGGGCTGATAAATTGAGTTGAGTTCTGCACTTGGGGAGTAGGGTGGGTAGGATATATGATATCTGTAGAAGTTGTAGTGTGGAAGAGGGGTTTACTACATTATGCTTGTTTCCAGACAGAAGATTTAATGGGTAGAAATGATAAAAAGGCAAATTGAAGCTTGATATCAGGAAGAGAGTAATAATCTGGGTAGGCATCAGACAAGATAATAATAACTCATTTTCTACAGCATAGCACTTTAAGGTTCACAAAACATTTTCCTTGCAACAATCCCATGAAGCTTGAAGTGCTAGTAATTTTGTCCCCATTTTATAGATGGGGAAACTGAGGCTCAGGAAGTTTACATGTTCACACATCTAGTAAGAGTTAGAACCAAGACCTTAACCCAGATCACCCCATTGAAAGACTGGTACTTTTTAACACTAAACCATGTTCTAAAGTTCCTTACAACTCCAAGACTATAATAAGGTTGTTGGTAGGTGAATAATTGGTGAAGAAGACAGAGGGAAATTGGTTTTTTTTTTTAAGTGAGGCAATTGGGGTTAAGTGACTTGCCCAAAGTTACACAGCTAGGAAGTATTATGTGTCGGAGGCCGCATTTGAACTCGGGTCCTCCCGACTCCAGGGCTGGTGCTCTATTCACTGCACCACCTAGCTGCCCCTGACAGAGGGAAATTGACCCCCAGCCTGACCCAGGAAGGAGAGCTCACATGGAGATGATGTTGGGTCTCTAGGAGGAACCTTCGCAGAAACCCATAATAGTCCATTCAATGGCTGCCGTAAGAGGGGAAAGCTAGCAGACGTGCCATCATTATCATCATCACACATCTATCTAGTGCCAACTCCATATAAAGCACAATGTTGGGTATCAGTGGCACAAAGAAAGGCAAGGCATACTCTCTACCCCCCAAAATCACTTCCCAGCTCACCCCTTCTATAAATTGACCTGCTCTCTCCTTTGGCCGGTGTTCTATTTCCTTCCTTTGCCCTAGTCTGCCATTTTAACAAACACTCTGTCCTATATGGTGATTCCTCTAGTTATATAGCCAATGAGAGCAGGATCAACAGTCTCCATAGAAGTCTTCCTTGGATGCCTCATCATATTGTGGAAGTTCCCCTGGATTCCGGGAGGCAATGCTAACAGAACCAAAGCTTTGGCCAAGCTGCAGGCCTTGAAGGTAGACTCATGTCTGCTGTTTGAGAACCAGCCTACTTAAATACAGAGCACTTCCTCATCAGAAGATTGGCTACTGCATGATGAGCTTTTTGACCATGGAAATCATGAAACATCAAAAGCAAAGCCAAAAAAAAAATACAAAAGGCCCCTTTAATCCTGAGTCTTTTGTCCTTCCACTACTACACAGTGGTTAAGAGTGATAAGGGGCAGCTAGGTGGCACAGTGGATAGAACACTGGCCCTGGAGTCAGGAGAACCTGAGTTCAAATTTGGCCTCAGACACTTACTATCTATGTGACTCTGGGCAAGTCATTGTCTCAAAAATAAAAAAAAAGTAATAGAAATGGGGTGAAAGAATGCAAAGAATAACATAACCTTTAAACTGTAAATTAACATTAATATATTTATTGGTCCTTTTAACATGTGAGCTTCATCCAGTGACCACTGAACTGAACGTTTCTCAACATTATGGGGAAAATAGAACCAAACCCACAATGACCTTCTTACTATGAATGAAGCCAAAGAATGAAGACAAAAATGAAGACAAAATGAACCAGCAGCTCCAAGGTAGGAGAGTTCCCAGGTTTTCCTCAGGAAGATCAATAGAGGAGCAGATGGTGTCACCTCTATTATGCAGCCATAATCAAGACACATTTCATGGTCATCTTGACTTCTAGTTCTAAAGGTGAGCATGATGAGAGTTGCAGCCCATGCCCCTACAATTCTGGGAAGGGCATGGGAGGCAGAGACATGTAACAATGAACTTGACAAGATTCTGCACACTAAGTTAATACACATCTTGGTATCTGATGACTTAAGTGCAAAAGAAGGCACAGAAAAGAACAGTAAAAACTATGATGGAAAATGTAGCTTCAGACAGAAAAATAAAAGAGGACAAAACCTTGTCGACTGTGCAGAAATCTCAGACCTGTATATCACAAACACTTTGTTTAAGTCAACAAGTGCTTGTTTTATACCACACACCATAAAGGCACGGAGGTGCAGTGGATAGAGCCTACCTGAGGTCAAGAAGCAAGGGTTCAAGTACCACCCCTGACTCATAATGGTTGTATGATCCTGAAGCAAGATACTTAACCCTTTGGTTGCCTCAAGCAAATTTCCCTGATTTCCTTCAAGGCTCAACTCAAACACTACCTTCTAAAGAAGCCATTCCTATTTCCCCTGCCTGCTAGCATCCTCCTTACCAAAACTACCTTGTATACATTGTATATACCTTATATGTGTATGTTGCCTTCCCACTAGAATCTAAGCTCTTTGAGGTCAGGGACAGTTTTACTCTTGTCTTTATATTCCCAGCAATTGGCATAGTGCCTGGCACAGAGTAAATGATTTCTGATGGGGTTATTTAAGTTGTAGATCAAGTACTCATCTGCACTGGCATATGTCATTTTGTCAATAAGTGTTCTTTATACCAATGCAATCTACATGTCTGGTCCAAGAAAAGCATTCAAGTCATTGTGAGGGTACTTGAGATGAAGATAAAAATGGAAGTCTCTGCCCTCAGGAACTTACGTTCTACTGAGTGGGTGAGGAGACAAAGTGTATAAAGACAAGTTAATACCAAATACATACAAAGTAATTTGGGACTTTGATCTGGTGTCATGAAAGGATCACATAGGAGGCAGCCTTTGAGTTGAACTTGATGGGAGAGAACTATGTCAAGAGGTAGAGGTAAGAAATGAGAGCAACCCAGGCATTAGAAAAGAAAAAGTCTGTGCAAAAAAACACAGGTAGTTTGGCATCTGGATAGCACACTGAATTTATAGTCAGTGACAAGTTTGCACCTGGCTTGAGTTGCTTACTAGCTGTGAAATCCTTAGCAAGTCCCTAACTTCTCTCTTGGCTTTAATATCTCATCAGTAAAATGAGGAGTTGGACTCAATGGCCTCTAATGGCCCTTTCAGATCTAAATCTATGATCCAGGAAATGGAACAACGTATATGGAGAAGAACAAGCAAGCCAAAGGCTTTATTAACTCATCTTATATTACAATAGTTTTACTAAATGGATAAAAAAACAATCTTTGTAGTTCCGGCATGATTTCAGAACCTGTACTAGTACAGTTATTGCACTGGCATTTACCATCCTGCTGCCACCAGCTAATGCATATTACAGGAGGAGGAGAAAATCATAATCATGAAAATGAACATACTAGACACATAGGGTTTTAAAGCTTTCAAAGCACTTCCCATCC